AAAACAACTTCCAGATATTCAGTCAGAATTACCAGATTGGTCACTTGTACAAACACAAATTGTAAAAAATATTAAAACAACACCTCAGTACAGCACATTATTAGGTTTCATAAGATTTCTTTAAGCTCCCGTAATGAATCTTAAGAAATGATATATTTATCTTTGTTTATTTTCAGGTGCTTTAACACCATTAGAAAAGCAAGAAGTTAATAGAAGAAAACCAGTAGTCAGAGAAGCTTTGGCACAGATAAAAAGACCACAAAATGTTGATACAGTTGATAAAGAAGAGGAAGGTATAGAGCAAACTGTAAAGATAAAAGATTTTATTACGCGATATTGTAGAACTCAGCACAAACCTATCGACTTTTTTAAATTGATTTTACACCCAACCGATTTTGGGAAAACAATTGAAAATATGCTGCAAATATCTTTTCTTGTTAGAGATGGAAAATTAAAAATTGCAAAAGGTAATTATGTAAGTTTATAATTGCTGTTACAAGATCATGTAACTCTGTATATATTTTGTCTTGGTCATAGACGATTCTGGAATATTAGTAATTCAACCATGTACAAAAGATATGATAGTTCAAACCAAGGCGACCGAAAAACCAAACATTCAAAATGTTATCTCTTTAACCATGGATCAGTGGAAGGTATGATTATTAATAGTTGCAAGAATTATGCGATTGGAAGTTTTTCACATTTGACGACTATTGCTTTATTTTAGATGCTGAAAAATATTTATCGATTGAAGAAACCTATGATTGATTTCCATAGCGACTGATTTAATTTGAACGTGGCCGTAATAAAAAGTAATTGCATAATTTTCTATCCTTATTTTTTTCTTAAGAAATGTTATTGCGAGAAAAAATATATTTTTATGTATTTGTATTTCTAATCCCATCCTAAATAAAAAAAAGGTTTTACGAAAACGAAAGATCCTTGAATTGTACATACATCCGTACGTTTTTGTAAAATTTTTATTAATTCCTAACATATACTATACTGTGTGAGTATATGTTAATGATAACAATATGCTTATCGACTCGATCTATGGATAACGAGAGCACCCTGAACAAAATTACACAAAATCATGTAAAATTTGATTAATAATGTTCACGATGTTCTCAACAATTTGGTATGCATTTGTGAATTTTTAAACAAGAGCAAAACAATCTTCTAATTACCATTCTGCAATTTTGTTCAAAGATACTTATTACTCTCGGATAAAAGCCAACATTTCTAATAGATAAAAAATAAACAGGCCTGTATTATTAGAAGATCGTTTTAATTATTTATTAATGACATGATTACGATGACTGTGAATTGGCTTATTGCTTGGCCAACGTTTCTGCCTTTGCTACTACTTCTTCAATTGGACCGACCATGTAGAATGCAACTTCTGGAAGATGATCGTATTCGCCACCTAAAATCTTTTGGAATCCTTTAATTGTTTCTTCTAATGGTACCAATTTTCCGGCGTGGCCAGTGAACACCTCAGCAACCTAAATAAGTGCAATTGGTAATAATTAATAAATAGAATTATTTATAGAAAGAATTAAATTAATATATTTACCTGGAATGGTTGAGACAAGAACCTCTGAATTTTACGCGCACGCGCTACAGTGAGTTTGTCTTCTTCAGACAACTCGTCCATACCCAAGATAGCAATAATATCTTGAAGTGATTTATAATCTTGCAAGATTTTCTGCACACCGCGAGCAACGTTATAATGCTCCGCACCGATAATGTTGGGATCCATAATACGGGAAGTAGAGTCAAGGGGATCGACAGCGGGGTAGATACCTAAGATCATCAAACGAGAATGGTAATTTTTGATACAATTTATCATGGTAATAATTATTATATTTACCAAGCTCGGCAATAGCTCGAGACAATACAGTGGTAGCGTCCAAGTGAGCAAATGTGGTTGCAGGAGCAGGATCGGTCAAGTCATCGGCAGGCACGTAAATAGCCTGCACGGAAGTGATAGATCCCTTCTTTGTTGTCGTAATACGTTCCTGCATGCTACCCATATCAGTTGCCAAGGTTGGTTGATAACCTACAGCAGATGGAATACGACCCAGCAAAGCGGATACCTTGAAAAATTAATACTCGTTAAAAAATATATTTTGTTTCTATCTTGGTAATACGAAAGAGTAATAATAAAACATACTTCCGAGCCAGCTTGAGTAAACCTGAAGATATTATCGATGAACAACAATACGTCTTGTCCTTCTTGATCGCGGAAATATTCAGCGACGGTTAAACCAGTCAAGGCGACACGAGCACGAGCGCCTGGTGGTTCGTTCATTTGTCCGTATACCAGAGCTACTTTGGAGGTCTTATCCTTCAGCGAAATAACACCAGATTCGATCATTTCTTGGTACAAATCGTTACCCTCGCGTGTTCGCTCACCCACGCCAGCGAATACAGAGTAACCACCATGAGCCTTGGCTACATTGTTGATTAACTCCATAATTAATACAGTTTTTCCGACGCCTGCACCGCCGAACAAACCTATTCAAGTGCAGTAAGCGTTAAAGTAAAACCATCAAAGTAAATTTTAATATAAAGATAGATCTATGAAATATAAATTTTACCAATTTTGCCACCCCTGGCATAAGGAGCAAGAAGATCGACAACTTTGATTCCAGTTACCAGAATCTCCTGTTCGACTGACATTTCTACGAATTCGGGAGCGTCTGCGTGGATGGGGGCAAGTTTGTCGGTAGGGATAGGACCACGCTCGTCGATTGGTTCACCGATAACATTGATAATGCGACCCAAAGTCTCGGCACCAACGGGAATACGGATAGGGTATCCAGAATCCAATACAACTTGGCCGCGAACCAGACCTTCGGTACCTACACAACCATGTTATGTTTACATTAAATATTTATACTTCTTTGATGTTTTGTGATTTTTCTAGAAAGAAAAAATGATATTACCATCCATAGCAATGGTGCGTACAGTGTTCTCTCCAAGATGCTGAGCTACTTCAAGGACTAGCCTGGGGGTGCGATTTTGAACCTCCAAGGCATTAAGAATTGGTGGCAGATCATCGTCGAATTGTACATCAACGACCGCACCGATAACAGCTACAACCTTTCCTTGTGCACCGCCTTTAGCACTCGCAGCTTTTGCATAATCCCTGCCTAATTGTAAATAAACATGTTCAAACATTCATCATATAACAAATCATTGTAAAGATATAAAAGCGGCGTATTTAACGTTTAATTATTTTGTATAAATCATACGTTGATCCAAAGAAATAATGTATGGTATAATTATTGATAAAAACACAACATAATATTAGATAATGCTTATGTGAAGTAAGTTACATAATACAAACTACATGTGTATACTTCAATGGAAGGCTACAAATTAGTATATGTTTAATTATATTAATACATACAATTACTTAAATCTCATAGTAAATATATATCGATAGAATGCATGGTTTAAAAAGTTCGCGAAAAAATAAGGGCGATCGATCATCCACGAGTCCATGACTGATGGTACCAGCAGAAGGACAGAATATCCATCGTATCGTAAAATGAAATAACAGCAAACCGGATTTTAATAAGACAGTAATAAAAATACTGTTAATCATAACAATACTAATAAATAATTTCGTCGTAGTCAAAAAATTAGTCGAAGTGACCTTAATGCCGCCATGTTGGCACAGTGGTATTACCACTGCGGTACGGTCAAATAATATGGATTATATAATCAATACACTTGCTCCTCTCGATACTCTTATGTCAATCGAAAAATAAAAGAACACCGTCAATTTGGTAGGGGTTGTCAGAATAAGAGGGAAAACTACACGGGGTACTTCTAATTGTACTTTTCGCCTAAGACATGACTACCAATGGCCAAAGACGGTATCGCAGTTATGAAAAGTGAAGTTAACGAACCAACGATCGTTTATGTCTTAATACTCACTGTTTACGGATAGTATTCCGGATACTTTAGCAGTTTCATTTTGAAGAAGAGCAGGTTTGACGGCCCTCAAGGCCCCAGCGGCCGCCTTCGATACAGCACTCAACATCTTGGCCGGTCAAGTGAAGAAAAGCGACCGGAATGGTTTCCGAATCGTATGGACCGTACCCTATACTGATTGCGCATGCGCGTTACGCAAAGCCATCCCCACGCATACCTCCCGCGCAGTTTCGCCATTGGATCGTTGCACTCCCATTACGGCGGATTCTTATGGAACGGAATTGAACTAATTTAGAACCCGTGACGCCAGATGTATCATAATTTTCATGAATCTTCACAATCATCACAAGTCTCAAAAATGTTATAACACCTTGAAAGAGTTGGTTCGGGAGATGATTTGAAACAACTTTTTTCTTAACGAAAATGTTGTCCGAGGCTTCGTTGAGGAGATATTAACGGAAAACACTGATCAATCAGAGCGCGAGGATGCCGGTGGAGCGTAGGCTACGCGCTAGCCGGCTTCGCTCATACGTTATCGCGGCCGCTCCACCGGCATCCTCGCGCTCTGATTGATCAGTGTTTTCCGTTAATATCTCCTCAACGAAGCCTCGGACAACATTTTTGCTAAGGAAAAAGCTGTTTCAAATCACCTCCCGAACAACCCCTTTCAAGGTGTTACAACATTTTTTGGACACCCTGTATAAGGAGATCCAACTCCCTAAGAAAGTTACTAGAAAACTGTTATCAAAATCCCGAACTTGAAGTTATGAATATTTCATCCACTCGCGGCGCAAGTGCGCACAGCCTACGATATTTATACGTCATATGCGTATGATAATATATACACATATGACATATATAATTATTCATACATATATAAATATTCATAACTTCAAGTTCGGGATTTTGGTAACAGTTTTCTAGTAACTTTCTTAGGGAGTTGGATCTCCTGGTCTGCGAGCACTGAAAATGCGATGTTACAGAATATTTATGAAAATTATTATGCTTACCCTCTTGATTTTATCACGTTCTGATTTCATTGATAAAAACTGTTCATTCAATTAGCATCATCTATTATATATTATATCGATCCACCAATTACGAATGCTTGTTCGATTATGTAACTGCGTGTGTACGATAACTGACCTAACCTAAGATGTCTTTCTTATATACAGTAATACAGTACGGAAAGTCTGAGAAACTGCTCCATGTGAATCATTGGAGCCGATCGTTGTATTTGTTTCGTTTTGATATTAATACGTCTGATAAAAATAAATTAAAATGGTTGAGGAACAAAGGAGACGAGTCGAAGAGTATATGAATAATATGGTGGAAGAAATTGATAAGTCGTACCTGAGAAAAATGCAGGTACATCCTATCCTTTGCAAAGTATTTTCAGGTTATATCATACAACATGCTTCACCTTTAATGTTATTCATTAATTAAATAAATATTGAGGGACAATTATAAAATTATTAAGGTACAGAGATGACAAGGTTTAATTTCAGGGTGACATGCATAGATGTGCCGCAACTTGTTGCGATAACGAGGTTTACAGCGTGCAAAAAGTACATAATTGTATAGAAAATTGTAGTACTTCTTTGAATAAAGCCCAACAGTATATTCAAAAGGAATTTGAAAGATCTCAGGTATATATTTGATATAAAAATCTAAGAAATATTGTACACGAGTGAGTACATAGAATAAAAGTAATGCTTTTAGAATCGATTACAAAGATGCATATTGGATTGCAATGATAAAATAAAAGATAAAATGGGACCAAATCCGACGCAGAAGGAAGTAGACAGGTACAGTGAAGATTTTGAGAAATGTGCCACAAAATGTGTAGATAATTATTGTGAAATATTACCTAGTTTAGAGAAAACAATGAAAAAAGTTTTATCTAATAAATCGTATGAATAATTACGCAAATTACATTAGTATTTTATACAAACATATCCAGCCTAAGGAGAAAACAGGATATAACAAATTCCATGATCATAGTATTTATTAACTAGTACACTTGATGATTGCAGTGGTACATTTTCGTTTCTCTTTTTATTTTCTCTCTCGTTCAACGTAATAACAAATTCACCGTTGCAATTAATATCATTTCTTTATTGTTACAATAGACATTACGCTTATTGCACACTTTTTTCATGATATAAAACCTTCCCACCACTCTCGCTCGATACAAAATAATCGGTCAAAATATGTCGCGTAAATTCTGATCTAAACTGTAAAAATCTGCAAATAAACCGTTTAAATAATAATAATTTAAATATAAATATCAACACAATATAGTTCACTTGTTTCTTCGTGTGTACGAGTTTCTATGAAAGTTGACATTGGGCTTTGTATCTTTCTATTCTGTTTCATTCTTGAAGATTAATTTACAATGTTCGTCTTCAATCCCTTTTCATTTCTTGTCGTAGCTGCAAAGATTGGGGTGGCTCGGTGCATTTGTCGCGCAATGCGTGGCTAAGCGAAGCGGCTAGCGATAGAGATAGCCCTTCGCTGATATGCAAATTCGCAAAAGTTCGATGAAAGTGTTTACATTTCGAGTAACGACACTACTTTGTTTTATTTATTTCCTTTCTTTTTTTTCTTTCATACGCTTGTTTTTCAAAATTCCTAAATATGACTCGTACATGTGTCGATCGTGGCTCGATGTCGTTAAGTGGAATGGCATGAGTTTTGGGAAATGTCAATTTTCTCAGATGTCTCGAGGTATAAGTGAATGCTGCGGTATATTTCGCACCTGGCGTCGCACGGATTGAGAAAAAAAAGGTCTATGTAACATTTTGCATCCCAATCATCAGACTCTTCGGACTAGATTTCTTTTTTTTTTCTTCTTTAATAAGATTGAGATTACGCGCTTCTTTATCAAACGCTGGTCATAATGTGAGTAGCTGTAGGTACGTCTGGTAGAAAAAGAATTGAAGGTACAAGGTGAACGTAGGTTGCGGCGCTGTGGCAACAAATTTGGCCAGTCGTGGGGTTTCGCCTTATAAAAATTTCAGTTCCAATTATTGCTCACACGTTTTTCATTCACGTAGAAATTTAACTAGATTCGACGATGATACAAAACAAGACAAGTATAGACCTATGCGTTCTGCTTCGGATTTTGATCGGATATCATAAAAATACAAAGAACGATATACAAGTATATCAATTTTAGAAAGTATCTGCCATTAAAAATTTTCATGCAGATGCTGAGAATGAAGTATGAATTAATAGAAACAACTAATAAATCGTAGGTTGAAGTAGGAATTTGATTTATATTCAATTAAATTGCAATTTGTTCTAATCTCCAATTGTAGAGCAGAAGTCACTTCTAATATCATGGATAGGACGTATAAAATGCCTATCCTCGTTAAGTCCAATGCGAAACATATAAGAGTACTGGTCAAGTTTGCTGGAACACCCAGTCGAAAAATGTCTAAATAGAACTGCGTTTCTTGGTCCTATCCTAAGCTATCACCGATTGTAAATTAGTTTCTTCGATCTTCATTGCTTAATTAATATCGTATTTAATTGTGCACCTGCAGAATGGAACATCCAAACGTGTCCTATCGGCAGGCTCACACCACACTATATGCTATGATCATCGCGGAGCAAAACAGTCGTTTCGTAGCTGTGCAACTAGTTCATGATCACCAGTATTTGTGTCTTTTTCTTTCTTACAATAGATCTCGAGTTCTCAGAAAATATTACATAGTTGTTAACAACAATTCTGCACTGTATTTAATCGTAGGCGTTACGAACTCGCTGCGTTGCTTACCGTATCATCATTGCAACTCGCCTAATATGGCTGACATAAGGCTTGACCGCGTCGTCACGAATTTTCCCTCTACTTACATGGATATTCAATTTGTACTTTGAAATTGAGTCAACTATTTGTTTCCTTCGCGAGCTTTGATCGAAGCCAGTTTCCACGCAGTCCCTTGACAGCTTTCAACGAAACTGTACAATTTTTACACGCTTAGAGATAGACGTCTCTCGTACTTTAGATGTCATGGAGACCGGTGTATAATTTTCGAATGTTTAGATAACCTACGGTAGAAGCGAGAAAACGCACGGGTTATATCGAATGCTACATGGCAACTGTTTCAATCGAAGCACAATTTAACCTGCTTGAAGAAATTCGCGCGCCGCAGACAAGCCTTTCATTTTAATTAAATAATAACTTTGTTAGCCGACCTAGCTAATCTGCGTTTAAGAAAGAAACATCAAACAACTAGGAGGAAAGACTACTGATTTTAAAGAAGAGAGTGCGTACTTTTAGGTAGAGTAGTAAGTATCTTCGAAGTCGTCGAATACGTGAGAATCTTCGGTATTTATAATTTTAATTTCTCCGTTGTTTGGCACTCGAGCCTTAAACATTATCGTCACCGTTTTCATTCACAGAAAGCGTCGCTTTCGTGTGTCTCTAACAACGTCGGAAAGAAACCCTTTCGAACTGTAAGAACTTGGCTAAAATTCTTATCAAAACAAAATGTACGATAGCAAAAGTTTCTATTATGTTTAAGTATTCGATGTTAATCGGATATTATCGGCTATTCGTCGAATTCGAAATACAAAGCGCGTCGGTTAGCTTTACAACCACGAACGACTCTCACGCATTCCTCAGGCTCCTATCACGTACATATTCTTTTTTTCTCTAAACGTTAGGGCTACCCATAATGATCTTTATTTTCGCGAAGTAACAAATTTACTTTGGAAAAGAAACCTCGCTGGAGAACACCAGGAGTGAAAAAAAAAAATCTCGAAAAAAAAAAATGTAGTCGTGTAAAAAGTAACAGAAATAACGTGAGCAGCCCCTTTGCTCTTCGGCCTGCCTTGCAGAAAACCAAGTCGCGCTTAAAAAAGGCTTAGAACACACTTTGAATATCGATCCCTGTAGGCGAATGAGACAACTCGCATCCGGTGGTGCACGTATTCACCCGCTAACTCTAAAAAGAAGAACAACACAGTGTTCCCTACTCTCGCTCGCGCTTAATAACCCTTTTCATTAAATTAAAAAGAAAAAAGAAAGAAAAAGAAAGCATGGAACATCTCGTGCGTTTTGGAATATGATCAGCCGTTAAATGCAGAAAGATCGAGCGAAACGTATTTGGGAATGATTTGAAAATTCTTAATGTTGAAATGTCGAATGTACTTTGCGGTGCTACGATCAGAAATTAATTGATGTTTAACGTTCTTCTTGGCAGTTGTACAATTGAAAATGACGCTACGCTTTTTCTTTGTTAAATAATTCTTCTTAAATTCTACAGTTTTTAGTACGTTGAAAAATTCGTGTATCGCTCGATCGTTCTCGCGGTTGCACCGCCATGACGTATTTTTAATTAAACACACCGGCTCGTGAAATTTCCACGCATCGTTTGCTTTACAAAATATACCATCCGGTTCTTTTTTCGAACTAATTCAAGTAGCTGTTTCGGAATCGTATGACGGGTGTTGCACGAGTCTTCCCTTCTTAACGTTTCTCTTAATAAATTTCACAGTACGTTCGATGCGCCGACCGATCGCTACGATCTCAATAACCACGCTCGTGTGCCCGGTCGCGTATGTTCATTTTTTTTTCTTCTTCTTTTTGTTTTTTTTTGTTTGTTTGTTGTTGTTTTTTTTTTTTTAATTTTTCATAATTCAAGTGTTTTGCGATTCGGAGAACCAAATTTTCTTTCGCTAGGCTCTAGAAAACACTACGAATACCGCGTAAAAAATTGCCGACTCCGCGATCGGTCCGCGCTCAAGTTATACTAATCGATAGCTGCTCCCAATGTGAAAATAGTAGAATTCTAACACAAAAATCAGATTTGCCTACATGGATCATTCTCGACAACAATGCCTTTGTTAGACTTAGTGTTTCACAAAAGGTATAATGGTTTACCAAAAGGTGTAACCGCCATCTGTTCCTCCTCCTAGGAAGTTTTTCTTTTGCGATATAGCGACACTGTGGCTAGCCATTGCAGCTAGTTGGGCGGCATTTGGAACTGTTGGGGGCGGTGGCAAGACGGGTTGCGAGATGCTATCGAATCGATTGGTAGCGTCGAAACCATTCTGCAAAATGAATAAATAGCGACGCGTTAGTAACCATTCGGGATATCGAAACGAAACGTACGCAAGAGATTTCGCTGTACTTACAGGCATCACAAGTGTGGGGGGCCTAACTGGAGGCTGCATCGCCGCTGCAGGGTAGTACGCTGCAGCTGCAGCTAATGGCGGATAATATTGCAATGGCCCGTATGCAGGATAACATGCATTCGCTAAGTATCCTGGGTATCCTTGACCGTACATTGGTTGATACATCTACGCAAAGTAATTGAAAACATTGAGACAGCGCACAAACGTTAAAATATACAGGGTGTTCAAAAAGAAAAAAAAAAGCATTCAATATTTATACGGTGTATAGGGCACACTATACTGACAAGGGAAGGACGCGGACGAGCGCTTTTTGTACGAGACCGGGCTCAAATGACGGGGACTGATGGGCATTAAAAAAAGTGCAAAACATTCGGGGTATCTGGCCAGCCATTTTGATAAAAAAATCGCTTTAAACATTTACAGGTCACTAGATTCTAGACCAGCAGTTCTACTACTACATTTCTATTTCTTATTCCTTTTTTTACTTACTGCTATGTAAATCATATATAAGTATTATAATACTCACTGTTATATAAATAATACATAAGAAGTACGAAGTGTAGGACGTTGACTACAATTTGTAGTAACGCGTTTCTTATTAATTTATTTATTTTTTATTAAATAACAAGTGTGGCTGAAGCGTTTATTAAAATAAAATTCGTTTTTTAATCAACATGTATTTGGATACTGAATATATTATAATATATTGCATATATTACAATATTATGTTCACATTTAAACGTATCGTTAAAAATTGTAGTCCGCATCCTATACATTATAATTCTTGTACATTATTTATATACCAGTGGAGTATTACAATTCTTATATATTATTTATACAGCAGCGAGTAAAAAAAAAGGAATAAGAAATAGAAATGTAGCAGTAGAAGAAAAAAAAAAAATATTCCATTTACCGAGTCACGAACCCACGAACATTACAATATGAACCAGCGCGGCGTAACGCTCGCAGCTACACGACAGCTTCCGTTAAGAAACCGAATGTTGTTTCGTATATCTAGTGACCTGTAAATGTTTAAAGTCATTTCTTATAAAATGTATAAAAGTCTCGTTGAAAGAGCGCTCATCCTGATCGCGACCTTTCCCTTGTTAGAATCGTAACACGCGAATAGTGGTCCACGGCACCGGAGAACGTCTCACCATAGGATGCGTAAGAGTCTGATCGTATGTCGGCGGCGGCGGTCCTTGCGCTGCGTACAGTTGTGGTTGATTAGGAAACACTCCGTACGGTGTGGCACCTGAAACTATCGGTAGAGTTCGCATGCAATCGGATCATTAGAACCTCATCGAAATGACGCGGGATCGAAACACAGAGATGATTCTCTTACGTGCACCACCGTAGGTAGCAGGCTGTGTCGGCGCAGGGACAAAACCTGTTGGTGGATGAGGTGTCACCGGGTATGCTGTAACACATGCAATGGAAAATGCAGGTCCGTTCATTTTGTTGGCCGTAGGATCGATCTAAGCCAACGGTACGTGGTACCACTGCCAAAAAAGGACAAGGGACGACGCGTTTCAGAAGATCCATAGAGAACGTCGTAACGCCGTTTCATCCTTCATCTACCGGCGCTGATACATTCCATCGGCTTCAATTCCCCGCTCCCTAAGGATCCATCTGACTCGCGACGTCAGCATCGAGAGATTTTCGACGCCGTGTTCCTAACCGTTATTACGTCGTATCAATTGTCGCGAATCCGTTGTACGAGAATTTCTTTTCATCTCGCGAAATGTACAAATACGTAAAACAGAGTCATCGGCAAGCGTCGAACACATCTCGATTACGAAAGTGGTACTCCCACACCCAAGTATATCTTACACATGACATACACCGTTTTTATCAAGGTACTATTCAAAGCTCAAACAATGTTAGTCACTAAATAATGGTGAAAAGAAATAACCGAAAAAAAAAAAAAACGGTATTGTTGCCTTCTTGTTACCTTTCGAGTTTATCGCTGCTCAACGTGACGGTTTCATCGGTAAAAGAGAGAGATATATATATACATACATGTATATATATATATATATATAGGCGTGAATATATCGCAATTGGGAAGAACAGTGTCGTGAGAAATTTACAACTGCGGCCTCGCGTAAACTGCGCTGGTACAAGACAGGCTTTGGTTTTATTTCTTTTTAATTTTTTTATTTTTATATATATATATAGTATATATAGTAAAAATAAAACATTTACGACTCTTTCGAAAATCCATATTCACAGAGATTTCTTTCTTTGCTCTTAAACGGAGATCGTTACACAACGAATAGAAACGCGTCGAGTCAAGAAACGCGTCGTGTCGCGAAACGCGTCGAAACCTCGAGGATTCTCGATAGAAGCGTAGTTGAAAAGCGAGACACTTGAGAATAGCTTAGCAAACTATTACTTTCGGTATCTTAACCGTGAATAAATAAACAACAGCACGTGTGTGTATGTGTGTACATACATATATATACATATATATGTATATGTGTGTGTGTGTGTGTGTGTGTGAATGTGTTTTGGAATTTAACATGAAGCAATCTGTGGTACATCTTGTCACTAGTTTTAAGTGAAAGAACAAAGTCACGGGCAACGTCTTCGAGAGAAAGAAAAGCAACGATGTGAAAAGTTCCCGTCGAACAAATATATATATATATATATAAAAAAAAAGAAAAAGAAAAGTATGGAAAAATACGAAACGGATAAGCTCGTCGAGAATTCTTTTCACCTTTTTAGAACGTAAATACACACGAAAAGTCTTACAAACAAGTCTAACGATACAGCCACTACGAGTAATGTAATAATATCGTATGTAATGTTTCGACAGTAAAACGGAATCGTCGGGAAGTCAGCCGAGAAACGAAAGTAAACAAAGAATTGTAAAGAAAAGAAAAAAAAAAAACAAAAAAAAGAAAGGAAAGAAGAAGAAGAAGAAGAAGAAGAGTAATAATAAATAAAAATAAAAAGAATAAAAAGAAACAGTGGAAACAATAAAAGATCAAGAAAAAACAGAGAAACTATTCTCAAATGAAGACTCGCGTTAGATCGATCTACGTTTACTTCTAAAACTAAGATATAATACGAAACCGATCTCAAAGCAAATAGCGTTACGCAATCAAAGGTAAAAGCCAAATACATTCGTCTAAACGGGTCGAACCTTACGAGACCCGTCAACCACCGTCGTGAATTACGAAGTGAGAATCGTAGCCGAATGATTCACGCAAATTTCGTACGTCGCGTAAGCAAATGTAGCAGCCGAAACAATGAAATTTCACGGCGATCGAACGTACGCGAAACCATTTACTCGCGACACAACGCGTCGTAAGTAACCAAAGGCTGCAACTTTAACGAACCGTACAGGAAGCGAAACGGTGTCTGAGCGTGGTTGCGAGTCGTTCGGGTTCGACCGGATCGGAAAATAAGAAACGACCGAAAACAGAGCTAAAATAAAGCCAGGGGGTAAGAAGGGGGTGAACGGGGGTTTGTTCGAAAAAGTGACGTTAAAAACAAGCCCAATAATCAAGGTCCGATCAAAGTCAGACACTTTTGATAACACTGTCCAACAACGATATTTTTTTCGCGATGTCCACTAGGTGACTCTCATAGGGTTCCTCGTCCTAAATGCGAATCTGAAAGTGAGATTGCTCCATCGCCTTTAGTTTTCGAGAAATACGAGATTTTGTAAAAACGGTCGATTTTTTTTTTAGAGAAAACTTAGTACTACTTGAAAACTACGAGCGCTAGAAAGTTCTGTTTAGTCTTAAACGATAGAGGAGTGTTTTCTGAATATGAAGACATGTTCCTTTAGAATCGTCTGCTCTTCTGGATGCCTGTAAATGAACAGCGAATTTCACGATAACGTAGTGCGAAATCGACCTAGGTGAATAACTTTTCATAAAAATACAAAAGCGTTTCGTGAAAAGTACTCGCGTCGGCAACTTTTTGCACTTCGGTGTACGTTTACAGCCATTCAAAAGAGCAGATAATTCTAAAGGAATACGTCCTCGTATTTAGAAAACACTACCTCTGTCGTTTAAGACTAAATAGAACTTTCTAGCGTACGTAGTTTTCAAGTAGTATCACGTTTTCTCTCAAAATCGACCGTATTTACAAAATCGCGAATTTCTCGAAAACTATAGGGTGATGGAGCAATTTCGCTTACAGATTCGTATTTAGGATCCCCAGGGAACCCTAGAGGAACCCTATAAGAATCACCTAGTGGATATCGCGGAATTTAAAAAAGGTTTAAATTTGTCGTTCGTTTCGGGCCGGTGAATATGTGTAATTTATACAATGAGTACGGTGGTACGATGAAAGAAAGAAAAAAAAAAAGAAGAAGAAGAAGAAGAAAGAAAGAAAAATAAACAAATAAATAAAAGAAAGTAGATATACACTTATATATCTACTTTTCATATACATATATACGTATGCATATGTATGCAGCATCATACATACATATATATATTTATATATCTATATATATCTATATATATATATATACATATACATATGTTTATGTATATCAAGTTCCACACATTCAAAAAGTTGTGACAAGATTCAGCAAACCACAAATTTCTGCAAATATCCATAAATAAAGGTCAAACATGATTAAAAGTTCTTCGTAATTGCGTAATATATATTATTAATTGGGCGCTGCTCGCGCAAACCTTGCCCACGAGGCGAAACTTTCTTCCGTCGTTAGCCTCGATTCGATCTCTCGTTCTCGCCGGCAATCGCGAGAACGCCCAATTTCTTTTTTAGTAGACTAAATTACGGCCCTGGGCCGTCGCCATTCGCCATACGCAAAAAAGTTCCGTCCGAACGCAACCGTTCGCGAAAAAAACAATCGCTCGCGATGAAACCACCGAAACCGTAGCGAAACCGTATTTCCTTTTTTCTTTTTCTTTTTCCCCGTTAGAAGAGATCGAGAGGATCCGTCGATTCGGCCGTATCGCGAAACACCGCGGGAGCCAACATTGCGTATGATAAAATAGCTCGTGCCCAGAACCAGTGGATGGACATGTTGTACTCTAACATAGACGTCAGCCCACACCAAATTGTCCATGATAATTGAATACTGGTCCAACGGGTGGAAACGAGCGCTCCTCGAATTACGTTATATTGCTCTTGATCGTCGCGCGTGTAGGTCGACACAGTTTCCTTCGTCATCTCCGCTTCATTGACGGCGTTTACGACGCGGATAAAGATACAAAGGTTCGTGGAGACGCGAAAGAGGTGGCTCGGAGGCCAATCCGTCGGATCAGTTTCCAATCGAATAATAAATTTATGTGTCAGTGCCACGGTGCAAACAATCATCGAATCCAATAACAATTGATCATAATATTAATATGCTAGTACGAGTTAACTGGCTAACTTCGAAAAGAAAAAAAGAAAGGTGTCTTATTATTTTTTTTTTTTTGCTCTCGATATCTTTTTTCCTTCGTGCTCGTCCTAATTTCCCTGTATTATCAGTCTCTCCCTCTCCGCCAACCCCCGTTTTTTTTTTTTTTTTTTTTCACGCAGCTCGTTGCTACGACACCCCGTCTTTCGTTCTCGTACACGCACGCATTCCTCTCGGTCTTTCTCCCTGTTTCCGTTCTTAAAGCCCGATTCGTCCCAATGAGCATGTTCGACCTAGTCGCCCGTCGGAATCAGATGGTCTATCGAAGATCTCGCCCGTATTCGCGACCCATCTATTTCCGCCAGACGACACGAAAAGTATCGTATCTCATCGACGATGCCTCGGTGGAACAGCCCTCGTGCCTCGACGATTCCCAGCGATCCGTGGACGATCGACGATCTCGTTTCGCGAGCGAGAAAAATCCTCGGGCGACTGTATATCATCGATAGGAAAAAAAGTGGGGGGGGGGCGGGGGGACCGCTCGGGGTATTTATAAAACGTATCCCTGAGCGAGATCGCGACGTTTTATAAGTCGGGGGGAGAGGGGATGGGGGAGGGGGAGAGAGAGAGGGGGATTACCATTTTTTGTGGCACCGCGACTCGACCATGTTTTTACGTAATTTGTTAGAAGAACTATTGGTAATCATAGAGAACAGGTATTAATATTAATATCACAACATAATATTAATAACTTTATTTATCTGTAAAAATAAAAAATACTGACAGCGCAAGGAAATTTTTACTCAGGCGGGTGAAACCCGACATATCTATTGTAGCACGTCCCTGAGAAACAACGTCGCGCGTACGACCGCCGGCTCGGCCGTCGAGCTTAGACCGGTGGTGGGGATGCAGGAGATGGTGCTTCAGGAATCGCGGGCCGAAATGTGCAAGTAATTCCGAGCACTGCTCTATTATTACCGAACTATTATGTTTACTAGTTATTCCTTTGATTAAGAGTCGCGATACTACGATATTATCATACTTTAAATATTAGGTTGTCCCAAAAGTTTCTTCCATTTGCTTAAGTAGTAGTACATGCACATTTTATGTATAATGTTACATTATTCAATTGCGTACAATTCATTTTTGCTCCATTACAGTCACGACATTAACACCTAAAAAATCAGGTTCTCTATTTATATAAACACGACCACACAAAATAACCGAATGCAAATCACGGAAGAAACTTTTGGGACAACCGAATAAACGCAACTTCTAAATTAAACGTAACGGAGTAATTACCGCCTGTGCCGATGTTTTCGTAATAAATTAAATTAAATAAAAACACGGTCGAATCGCGACGCCACGGAAATTGCAATCGTGCCAAAAAGTTCCATATGTTGAAACGGTAATTCCAAATCTCTCTGTATCGTTCGAAGCTACGATTTACAAACATTTTTCTATATTATTCCGGATCGCAAATTTGTATTTTTTAATTTTGACCACGCGTTTGAGTATTCGCGATCGATTCGCCTCGTCGATCAACGATCCAGGTCGCTGGGTCCCGCGAAATTGAAGGCACTCTCGACATTTTCGACAACACTCGACCCGCCGAGTGAAAGAATCGACGCACGGTTCCGGCCAGTTGCTCTTTTTCAAAGTAACATCCTCTCAAACGAAAGCGGCGAGGAACTGGCTCTCGTTTCTGGAATCCCTTCACTCGTCGGTCCACGGTATCGTCGAATCGCTATCTCATACTTAAGCTCACTATTAACAGTATACATGATAGATTCTGCCAAACATGCACATGCAGTTCAAAAATGCTCGAGAGATTCCTATGATCTTGCAGCGACAAGTGTACCGAACGTTCGAATCGTCCTGGTATATTTCTCTGGCCGCGACAGCTCTTCGACGAGTCGAAATTGAAACGCGGTTACGTTAATGAATTCGATGTCTCGTTCACGACAGGAATAGGAACGTCTCTATATCGATTTCAAATACTCTACGAAACTATTCGAGTGGACGATTAAAAAACTACGAAATCTATTCGTTCGATTCCTTCTCGACGCTTGTTTGCTTACTTCAAGATCGTTTATCGAGACAGAGATCGTTAATCCGTGCCTCGCGACTGTTTATCGTCGAAAAGAAACTGTCAACGATTCGACGGTTAAGAAGGCATCGATCGAGCTAACGTAAAGGTAGAATTATAGAAAAAGTCTATCACAACGTATTATGAGCATGCATTGTAAACGCGACGAGCGAGCATTTTTTCCAAGGAAATTTGCGACTCGGGCGTGTTTACATTATTGTTTTTTTTTTCTCTCTGTTTTCGCTCACCACGAGTATAACGGAAGGACAAATTTCAACGAGATGTGCTCGCACGTCGCGTGTGCCACTACCGATGCATTCCAACCATGCAAACTAAAATACAAATACGTGAAAAATCATTAAACCTATGTATATACTTGCACATAAAACCGATCAGGATGCAGGCAAACGTAATTTCATACGAATTTTTCTCTCCGTATGCGTAGCGCACGGTCTACGAAACTCCCGAAACGCGCGTCGTCGGTTTCGCTATCTGTCGTTACCGACGAGGCGTGTCTCCGGTGCCGATTTCCATTGTTATTTTTCGCGTTGCGTTTATCGATGTACTTTCTTTGTTTATCTGTAGAGCCCGCAGGAACTGCTGGCGGTATTACAGAGAGACACCGGGTATACTGATACCCAGGTGTCGACGTATATATCGCGTATACAGGGTGTCCCAAAAATGTTGGAGGTCCTTGAAAGGGGTGGTTCGGGAGGTGATTTGAAACAAGTTTTACCTTTGCAATAAATGTCGGATGGGGCTTCGTTAAGTAGATATTAATAAAAAAAAACCCGACCAATCAGAGCGCGCGGATATCGTTGGAGCGGCCGCGGTAGCGAAGGCTACGCGCTGAGCGGCCGCGTCAATATCCTTCGATGCACGTCGAGTCACTTGTTCGCGTACGAGAGCGGCTACCTAGCGCGTAGCCATCGCTATCGCGGCCGCTCCATCGGTATCCGCGCGCTCTGATTGGTCAGTGTTTGTCCGTTAATATCTCCTCAACGAAGCCTCGGACAACAATTTCGCTAAGGAAAAAGTTCTTTCGAATCACCTCCTGAACCACCCTTTTCAAGGACCTCCAACATTTTTGGGACAACCTGTATACGCTACCCTTTTTCCTTTACTTTTCTCTTCTCTATGTCCAATTAAACAGGTACAAGCTATAATACACTACTATCGCCGAAGGAACAAGTAAATTTTTCTTAGTATATCAACTACAAAACACGTGCAGAGCCGACCACAAGTTTCGTCTGCACCCCAATTCGTCCCGTCTTCTTTCGATTCCCCTCGTTGGTTGACCAAGTGAAACGACGGTTAACTAACCGCTTAATCGCGAGCCAATCGAGTCGTATGCCTCGTTTCTTTTGTCTTTGCTTGTTGTTTCTTTTTCTTTCTCGGTTTAACGAGAAACTTGTGGCACGAGCCGAAGCGACATGCACTATTGTTAAAAGTGAGCTACCGAGTTTCTATCCAGTAGAAGTATCATATAAATACGCTGAGCTTAGATACAGCATTCGTGTCCACCCCGCCAGGCCACCGTGTCCTCGCGTGGAAATCAGTTTTTTTTTTTTTTTTTTTTTTTTTTTTTTTTTTTTTTTTTTTTTTT